AAAAATAAGGAAAACATATTTTATGTAAGTACTTTTCTTTCCTGTTTCGGATAATTCCACTCCTCATCAACAACCTTGGGCAAGGGTAATTCAAAAACAACAGACAAGATTCAACTTCTTATAGAACATGATTCTTCTTCGTTCCTGTCGTTCCTAGTGGAACATAGGGCTACAACAACACTTCACCGACGGAAGTGTTGTTGCAGTTTCAGTAGCAGATAGAACATGATTCTTCTTAGTTCCTGTCAACACTTCCGTCGGTGATGTGTTGTTGTGGCCCTATGTTCCACTAGGAACCTACATGAAACTGCAACCAGATAGAACATGATTAATCAAAGTATATTTAGATAAAAGAACGTGTATTTGTGGCAGAGATCGAAACCATATATTACCAGTTTGCTTCCCTTACCCGCTTGAAAGTCTTAGTTTTGTCATAACTGACACGTATTCTGCAACTATACCATGAAGCCTTGTTATAAAAAATAGCTAGTATACTCGCTTGTTGGCAAACTGTACTGTCTACTGGTCCCTCTATTGGCAAAAATTATCATAATCCTGAAAAATTATTTACAAATGAATGATTAGGGGCTATCAGCTTTCCATTCCATTAGACTCGTTCCAATAATCCAGGCATGAGAGTTAGAAGTCCTTTATAATCCGAGAAAAAAATCTTTATGAACCAAACTTTAGTTCTCGTTCTAGTATGGTTGTTTCTGATAGAACATATTGTTATATATATAGATCTAGAGTAACCACATATGGTTTTAATTCACGACAGACAAATGATGACAGGACAGAATATTTAATAAGATTCTCACACTACTTCATATCACGAACCAGTAATTACATATTTAAATAATTGATTTTTCCAGCATTCGAATAAGCACTCTTAAGTCACCCGAAGAAATTTACGTGCGCTTCAATGCACGAGACAAACGTACCGTAATTTGAAGTCTCGAGCTCCAGCCGACAAATGTAGTGAGGTTAATATAATGTATCATCCTTTGTTATTATCAATGAGTTCTTACTACTCCAGATGATTGCCAGAAATACACATACGTATTATTACGATTCCAGGTTGATTGCAAGCAGAGCCCGTCAGAGAAATTCTGGGTCCTGGTGCCACCATAACCTTCTACCCCCCAATATGCCTTCTATCGGTCAAAATTTTTCTCCTTTTCAAAGTTTACTTTTGTAAATTTAATACTACTGTTTTTACTTATGCTCCTACCCCACCACCATCATCACTAACCTCATCTTCAATCCATTTTACCATTACTAGTCTTTCTGTCTCTCTTTCTTTCATTTTCCCCCCTTCATTTCCTGAGCTCGCCCCTGGTAAAAATTGATTAAAATGCAAGGGGCAACTCAAAACAATAATCAAAACTCATACTTCGATCGAGAGAGTTTTTAGGGGATCTCACACATACTTAAAAATTGTTTAAAATGCAGGGAGTCACTCAAAACAATTGTCTAAATTCAGATTTGGTCGGAGAGGTTTTAGGAGATTTCGGGATTTTGCTGCATAGACTTACATAAAATTGACAAGAACACGTATCATTGTACGTAAAGTGTTTTAGGTAATTGTTTTCAACGAATTTTCACATAGTATTCCCGAAATTTGAGTTTTTATGAATGCCAAATTATTAAATAATATTAGAAAAGACTAAGCAGCAAATATGAAATAAACATAATTATATAGTGAAAATAGGAATATATCGATCATACGTCGACTCGAATCAATACGAGGTACAAATAATAAAGAACGATATATAAGCTAGAAAAGGAATAAAAAATCTCACGAGTTCATCAAGAGTAGCAGTTTTTTTTTCCAGACGCTCGCGCTCGGTGACATTAGGTTATGTATGTTAAAAAGGAACATGAAAGGCATCACCAGTGTATGACTAACGTGGTTTGGAATTTTGGAACAAAGCTACGCATAACCGTCCTAATTTTTGAACTAACAAGACTAGGGGGAAGACACACACAACAGCACGAAATAATGGGATTTGACCGTCACTCCTATTGCAATTACACAGCCCTAAAGTGCGGAGCGCGTGTATGCATCAATGGGATAAGAAACAAGAGTCCTTAAAATTCACAGTCTGGGCACGTTAGACATTAGCCTATGCCCGCTCCGATTGATACGGTTTTGTATTGAATTTTGCGCAAAGCTACACGAGGAATACATGCGCTAGCCGTCCCTAATTTAGCAGTTAAAGACTATAGGAAAGGCAGCTAGTCATCACCACCCACCGCCAACTCTTTTACCAACAAATAGTGGGATTGACAATCGCATTCTAACGCCCCTACGGCTGAAAGAGCAAGTATGTTTGGTGGGACGGAGATTCAAACCCGCGATCATCAGACTGAGAGTCAAGCGCCCTATCCACCTGACACGGTTATTACTGTACAGTCTAACTCAAACTGTTCTAAGATATTTTTGGAACCATCTTAACATAAATCGTATAGATTTATTGGTCATTAAATGTATAATCCTCAAGTAGGAATGCTGCATACGTTGACTTGACCATTAAATTTATCTTCATACTGTAATTTAAAATTGTTGTCAGTTCTAATTAAGTATAGTTATTACTAAAACTAATAATGCGACTTGTTTACCGAATTACAAAAATATTGTTCGGTTATCTTGCCAGTTTCAAACTGGTATGCTATTATAGACCTAGCCCTCCCGTACGTAGGGCGAGTATAATTTACCAATATTCTAAAAGAAGCTATTTATCAGCATTAACTGAACTATCCCTCTTGTTTATGATGTCGTCTTATTCGGATGACGTGGTATAGCCAAAATTGATGACATTTTTCGTCTCTTTTTAAGTAAGGACGTACTGTATGATTTGTTTGCTTTTGAATAGTGGGATTGACCGTCACTTTATAACGCCCCCACGGCTGAAAGGGCGAGCACGTTTGGTGGGACGGGGATTCGAACCCGCGACCCTCAGATTGCGAGTCGAGCGACCTAACCACCTGGCCATGCCGGGCCCATACTGTATGATCAAACTTTTTATGGTAAATAATCTTGAATTAAGTAATTATTTTATCTCAGAGTTTTCTGAATGTAGCTGAACAACTGAAATATGGTATTATTGATTTATGATATTTTTAAAATAACAGAGAAACAGATCGAATTTTGGAAGACCTTTCAAAATAAAAACTCCGAGAAATACTGCTGACCCATGGCAAGAAATCAAAGTGGTAAATTAGAAATTATAAAACTTAGGTTTAGAATACGTATTTTATCAGCGAAACAGTGGAACTTCTATTAACAAGTGTTTGTGGTGATAATGACAGTACATTAATTCATTTACTGGTAAACTTTATGGTCAAAGCAACAAAAGTTATTGAAAATTTACAGACTTCTGTTACAATAAAAATACATATGATAAGCCTTTAAAGCAGTAATCACATACATCATGCATGTCTTTGATAAAACCTTTATCATAAAATTTTCACCAGAAGAGCCACACTATATCCCTCTGTACACATATACACTAGTTACACCAGTTTCTTCATAAAAACAACATTCTTTCACCAGTAGAGCCACACTATACACCTGGAAAAAAGTTAAGCACCCCTGTGTTTTTTTCAAGTGATTCAGATTCGACGTTCTTGTGACTGATTATAAATTACCATTCAATCTAAACGTGTTTATCAAATGAAATTAT